CATCGGTGCCAAGTCACCTCATCGGCGCATGGTCGCCTTCCATTATGGTTGTCCCCCTTTAGCACGTAAGCGGCGCCTCCCATGGACCGGTCTAAGCTAGGAGAGTGCCCCGGCCATTGGATTTGAGGTCATGATCCAGTGCTACTGACTTTGGTGGAGCCATCCCATCGGGCAACTCCTAGCCTCTAAGCAGATAAAGGCTTGTCCTAGCCTGCCTTGGCCAGGACGCCGCACGGGTTTCTTCCGCTGTAGAACTACCCCCGTGACAATATGGTAGGAATTATTGCCTAGAGTGGGCAGCCAAAGTTTGCCCACTCTTTATAGAGGCAAAAATGTAATTTAAATTGTTATTACTTTCCATTTTATTCAATTTTGCTTCTTATTAAGGTGTTAACTCCCATTCTCTCTTCTTAGATATTTTATTTGAAGTATTTTTGTTTCTCATCAATAAATTCTACTAATTAAATCTATATCCAATTATTTTTAATAACATAAAACTTGTGTTCAAAATCAACAACCATTTTGTTTGGGTTGTGAGTAAGTAATTCAACCACCCACATCAAATGGGTCAACCAATGGTTTCATAGTTAAATAATAAAAAATTAAAATAAATAAAATCAAGGTTCAAAATATTGATACATATCAGCCCATATTGGTCGGCACGTATCGTATTGAGAGCTTCCCAATACGCCCCTACAGAGGGTGTATCGGGGTTTTGACCAGTTCAAGGGGTGGGCAGACCTTAAATCGGCCCCTCTAAACCGGATTTGAAAAAAAAAAGATAAAAAACCTATTGATACTACCCAATACGCCTCTACCAGCATATCGGGCATATCAATATTTTGAACTTTGAATAAAATATAAATATTATAAGAGTTAGAAATTTTTGAAAATTTTAGTTGCATCTCTAATATTACATATTTTATCATTTTAAACAACAATAAACAAGAAAAACAAGAAATATTTTTATTAATGATGGAAATGAAAGACATGATTTAAATTGACTTTGAAACAAAACCATTTTCCTGTAAGTGGTGGGTCAATGGTTGAACCTTTTAGGCCAAATGGGTCAACCCATGATGTCTTAATTAAATAATAAAAATTTTAAAAAGATAAAAATAACAAAATTATTAAAAGTATAGAAATTTCGTAAAAAAGAACACTTGGGTGCATCTTTGATATTATGTATTTATCATATTAAACAAAAATAAGTGTGATAACCAAGAATTTTTTTTATTAATTGTAGAAATAGAATAAAAAACATAAACCAACTTAAAAAGAAAATGTTTTTTGCATCTAATTGGTGGTGAATGGTTCATAGGGATGTAAATTGGGTGGGCTTAACTCAAGCCTGAACTGACCCAATTCGTAATTTTAGTAGATAGGCTGACTAGGATTTTTGGCTGTCGAGATGAGCCTAGCATAAGTTAAATGTTTGGGCTTTTCTACTTTTTATASGTTGGGCCTAAGCCTATTCCTTAGATAGCCCAAGTTAGGCCTAACTACATACATACGGACATACATAGACAAATATTTGTATACATGCATGCATATACAATTATGCACATTTCAGTGTTGGTTGGGTCTAGGTAGCCCAAGTGATTGACAAACCCTACTTCAAGAGTGCATCAAATGGTGGTTGGTCCTAGGCAGGATAAATTAGGTTTGACTTTGGTCTTGGACCTTAGACCAAATGCATAGGGTTGGGGCTGTGTTGAGCTTAAACTTAGCCCAACTTACTTAACTTGCACCATGACAGACTAATCGTTTAGGTAAAATGAATCAACCAATGATGTCATAAATACAAATACAAATTAAAATAAATAATACAAAAAAATTACAAAATACATAAAATTTATACAAAATTTTGACATATCTAGGATATTATAAATTTAGCATATTAAATAGAAATAAGTGTGATAAACAAGAATTATTTTTAAAATTAATTATGGAAATGAAATAGAAAATTTAAAATTACTAAAAAATGATTTACTTTTATTTTCAAATCAAAATAGGCCAAATAATTATATAATAAAAACTAAAAAAACTAGATAAAAATAAAAAAAAAAGTATTTTTATTAATAATGGAAATAAAATATAAAATTTTAATACACTAGCGTACTATACTTATGTTTTTAATGGGTTTGATAATAAAGACGGGGGTAGAAAAGATACAAAGATTGAAAGAAACGACACCATTAGACAAAGACATCAAAGCACGGAAACTGTCATATGTGTGTATTTACTAATGATACTAAATGCTTTGAATCGGTACAAACTGATTTATAAGCACAGAAAGCCAGAAATT